ATGATCACTTAATATAATGATTCATGGGCACTCTTATAAACATAAGTTGCGTGTTTAACGCTTCAAAAGATTGAAATGAGACAATTAGAGTCCGTTTTATATAGATTAAAATCTAATTTTAATTTAAGTCAAAATTAAGCAATTAATATTAACCACATCTATGGATCCCACAACTTTTCGAATACATATTTTAAAAACTTCTACACAATTTACTAAAAAAAATCTAATTTTAATCTCCACTAAAATCCCAGTTAGATAGTTCATCGACACTCTAGATTGTGTCTAAATTGAAATATTGTATGTATTGTGTGTGTGTGTGTCTTAGATACTGATTATTAAAGCATTATATTTACAGTAGATTATCGTAAAGAACTTATTTGAGAAGTAAAGAGGGTGGATGGATTATAAATGTAATTATTACAAACTTGTTCATTAAATGGTTGACATTGTGCTTCACTGAATTTTTTACGTATTATTAGATGATGTGGACCTTAGTATTTATTTTCTATATATTAAAGATATTTACTAAATATTTGCTTCATTTAATATTCAATCATTATTTTAATTACAAATTACTAATTGGTATGCCTTAATCATTTTCTACTATAGTTATTTTATCAAGCATGTTTGAGTGTTACACAAAATGAACGAAGGGTTGATCTATTTTACGCATTAGTTCTTCTATATTGACGTCAAATATATTATTAACAGATTTCATTGCTATCGATGCGAATATTTGGTCAATAAATTTAAAATTCATCTCGTGATTATTAGATCCACTTTTCCTTTATTTAAGTGTTGGGCTTGTTATGCTCCTAAATGTATTTACCTAAGTTTATGAGGACCCAAAAATTATTGGTGAAGGGGTATTTTTCATAGATAAAAGGTCATTTTCGGAACATAAATTTAATCACCGATTAGTGATTTTAAATAAATAATTGTAATACTACGGACCCTCGTGTCCGCTTTTGGGCTACCTAGTCAAGCTGACCGTTGCTAATGGGCCATCATCCATCATCACAAGAAAGTTAATTTCTTTAAATGACCATTTAGCCCTTCATCAAATTGACTAATAATTTTTCACATTTTTAAAACGAGAAATATTTAAAAATATTTGCAACTTTTATGGTTACAAGCTAATAAGAGTATTTTATACACTTATTCAAGACCTTAAAACGATGGTATTTAGTTGCTTTTTGAATGAATTATGATCTAAAATGTCGCATTTGTTGTTGAATATGTAAAATTCAATAGTGGTACAAGAATTTGAAAGAAACAA